CCTGGCAGAGGCTGGTAGAGAGACAAACTCAACAATGCAAGAAAATCACCACTAACATCACTACAGGCACATTACAGCAATTGGCAAGTGCACTCATATTGATCCTCTTCGCACCTTTCTTGTTTTCTTTCACTTTAAAGTCTCAGATCCCAGATGTACACAAAAACAGCTGTGAATTTTATAGCACAGGCTCAGCCTCTAGGACGACTATGCTGCCAAATTTAGATTCACATTAAACAAACTTTTAGTTACCACTCACAATAGAAATATAATTGTCTCAGCATTGTTGTTCTGTCCTGTGCACATGGGCCTGGACTGTTCCTAACAACTTACTGAAGGGCTGGTAATAGGGTTGCTAGAAGCAGAGGTAAATTTCTCCAGGCCAAATTCTGTTTCTAATACACTCATGTCTTTGAAATAACATGAATTGTTCAGCCACTCTCTGCTTGTTTCCTAATCTGTACAAAGGAATCGATACTGGTTCAGGCTTGGAGGATACTGTGCACATTAAGTGAGACAATACTGTACACAGAATATTTGTAGAGGAGAATCAGGCTGCAGTAAGTGATAGATACCTGCTACCTGTCATAACTGTATTTATCATCTTTCCTACAAAGATTTCAGAGGAGCACTGAGGACTCACTGCGGCCATAGGGGGAGTAATAGGCTGCCGTCTTCTGAGCATCGCCAAAGTCATAGACGACGGGTATCGCAGGCCCATTGTCAGTCCAACACTTTCCTGCTCCATATTTCACTGGGTATTTCTATGGAAAATGAAGAAGTCATGGAGTCAGGACAATAACATTGGCTCTCACAGGGATGCTGCATAGAAGGGAAACATTCTGTTCTTGATAACACAGATTATTTCAAATGCATACAACATAGGGATCTTTCCCTTTGGCTGTGCTTCTCCACCATACCAGCCCCCTTTCAGCTCACTCTCAAATTCTCTTGTTCTCCCCATTTCTAGCCTTTCCCACAGTTCACTCTCATGGGTCTCTTGCTTTCCCTGGGTCAGGATCCTTCACAGAATCGGGACAGAAGCTTAGAGTAAATTATAGTATAACAAACATGCGAGATAGCATGAGTGGATGGTGGCTCCTTCCTGAACTCAAATGCCTGCTACTCTCTAGACCCATGAAAATCAGCATAGCCAGCAGCCCTGTGTACCTGGTAGAGGCCAAACAGATTACGTCCCAGATGCTGGAAGAAGCCAGTTTGTGTGCGGTACCTCAGCAGGGAGCTATTCCTCCAGTTCTCCATGGGGCTATTGTTGGGCACATGCCAAATACCCAGGTCCAGGGCCTGGATGTCATAGTAGCCAGGGTTCTAGAAAGCAACCAACATTGAGTCGGACCAGGCCAACGGACCCCGTGAGAAAAAGAAGACACACACATGAACCACTCAGATAACAGCTGTGCTTTAAGTGGCTAGATGGACAAGTAGATTCAGACACTCCCATTTCCAGCAGATAATGGTTTCTACTACCACCCAGGTGCCCCATTTTTGTTGGTTTTCCTAGGAGGAAGCTGGGATTCAAGATGTATGTCTCTCAACTGCACCTGCTGTAGCTCTGCACCCCACATTCCAAACCTCTCTCCTTCTTACTTGTGGCCCTGCCACACTCCAGGACTCATCCCTTCCCACAGTGGTGGTAAGAGGAACCAACCTTGTAGTCATCACTTGTGGCCGCCTCTGCAGTCCCAAAGGTGTTGTAGTTGGCCCAGTTGCCATCACCCTCGGGGTAGTCGGCTCTGTTGCCCTGCTGACTGGACCAGCGATCGCCCAGCGTGCACTTCCCATACATGTTGTTCTCGTGCACACTGGCCACCAGGGTCCAGCCGCCACCCGCAGTGGTCATGTCACAGAAGGTCTGGTAGATGACACCCTTCTTGGTTTGGAGGAAATACAGGCCATCTGTAAGGAGAAGCAGAGCCTACTGGTGTGCAAACTCATGGTCCATCCCAGCCCTGCCACCAGGAGAGTGGTAGGAACAAGAAACATGGCCCAAACACTCATCATTTGAACCCTATTGTTTTGTGTCACTAGGGCCACAAGATCTCCTGAGTTCAGAAGACCATATTCCTGTGAGTGAGTCAAAACAGAATTCTCCAAACTTCCAGCAACTCTCCTAAAGTTAAACATGGATTTGGATTTCTCACAGCTCAGCAATTCCACTCCACATATACACGAGGAAAGGTGAAGTCTAAACTCCACTCAATATCTGCGTTAATGTTCATGGTATCATTGATGACAAGATGCAAAAGGTAGAAACAACCCAAGCTTTCCTTGACAGATGAATGTATAAACAAAACATTGTGCGTATGGGTATGTATACAGTATATGTTACATATATAGTGTACATCTACGGATAAATATATGTAAACATGATGGGGGAACAGGAATCAATTATCCATGCTACAACATGTATGAACCTTGTCAACATTATGTTAAGAAAAATAAGACAGGGGCTGGGGATTTAGCTCAGCGGCAAAGCGCCTGCCTGGCAAGCGCAAGGTCGTGAGTTCGGTTCCTGGTACCAGAGAAAAACCAAAAAAAAAAAGAAAAATAAGACAATCACAAAAGGATAGATAATTTATGATCTACTTATATGAGGTAACTAAAA